GCCTTAGCCACTTGAGCCACAGGCGCTGAGCCTGCTTCCTGGTTTTAAAACAATTTTCCATCATGAAACTCTTGTCCCTAAGTAATAATGGATATGTTGCCTGGTACAAAGCTCAAACAGTAGAATATACTTTTGTTCTAAGAGAACTTATAGAAAAATGGTTCATACAGGGATACAGCAATTCTTCTAATTAGAGACAAATTTGTCCTAGTTTACTGAAAAAAAAAATCTCCTTTTGACAAGTGATACTACTTTTCTATCTGTGACCTTAAGAAAAGCTACAGACCTCTTTACTCCAGACCTGCATATTCCAAGGTTGTCATTTTATGAATTTAGAAGAAACTGAGAAATCCTAATAGCTTCTAAAACATGAATTATTTCAGATACTTAAGAAGGTATCTACCACATAGTTTAAGAAAAAAATAATTACTGAGAGAGCTGAAGTCCCCTGAATATCCCACCTCAATCAAATCTCTCTCCTCCTCAGACCTCTTTCTTTTCTTCCTTTACCCAGAGGTAAAAAATTGTAAATTTGTGTTAAATCATTCCTAGCCTTTCTTTGTATATATTCCTAATACATACCGCAATACAGCAGAACCTCCATAGTCAATCACCTCCCTAAATCGACCACCTCCTTAAGTTGACCTAATTTTCACAGACTGCACATAGACCACTTATACTCAATGAACGTTACTTATGCTGACCACTTCTGGATGTTGGCCAGTCTGTTACAGTCTCTTGGGTGGTCAATTTACAGAGGTTCTACTGGGTGTAAAATACATAATATACATTTTAAAATTTCATATAAATAGTATTATGTAATCCATCTTTCTGCAGCTTACTTTTTTCACTCAATCTGTTTGTGAGTCATACAGGTTGATACACGTAACTCTGTACCTGGTCTCTGATCATTTATACTATTATATCAGTATTACATTATGCAAATACACCACAATTTATTAAGTTTCCTTTTGAAGGGCTTCCATTTTTTTTGCTATAACAAACATTGCTGTTGGGAAGGGCGACCGGAAAGATCACCTATATATCTGTCTAACAAGGGTACAAGCAAACTTTTCTAGAACTAGAATATAAATGTTTTGACACAATGACTAAGCAAATGACATGAAATCTATGTTAACCAGCATGATGAAAGTATTTCAAATTGTATATGAAAACACTACACTGTACCCCACGTTTGCATTAATGTATACAGCTATCATTTAATTAAAAAAAAAGAGAGAAATAAAGAAACAAAGCTTTTCAATGTTAAAAAAATAAAATTTATTTAATGAAGGAAACAAACAAACAAACAAACATTGTTGTTCATTTTCATTTTTTTTTTTTGAGACAGTCTCACTATGTCACCCTGGGTAGAGTGCTGTGGCGTCACAGCTCACAGCAACCTCAAACTCTCGGGCTTAAGCAATTCTCACCCTCCCAAGTAGCTGGGACTACAGGTGCCTGCCACAATGCTGGGCTATTTTTTGGTTGTAGTTCTCATTGTCATTTGGCAGGCCTGGGCTGGATGTGAACCCGCCAACTCCGGTGTATGTGCCTGGTGCCCCAGCCACTGAGTACAGGTACTGAGCCTGTTCATTTTCTTTTATACACATTAAGATAATTTTAGGTTTGATGTCTAGTAATATAACTGGCAGGAGGTAAGATGTGTATATCTTTGCTTTATTGGAAAGTACAAAACTGCACTCTGCAAAAAAGTTCTATCTATTATACTTTCTGTATATCATATAACTATACAAGGGAAAATACTGGCCTTATTTTGAAAAAAGAATAGAGGGTGGCACCTGTGGCTTAAAGGAGTAGGGCGCTGGCCCCATATGCCAGAGGTGGTGGGTTCACACCCAACCTCAGCCAAAAACTGGGGGGGAAAAAAAAAAGAAAAAAATACAGTACATCAGTCTTCAAAGATTATACATCGAAAATCACCAAGTTATATAATGCAACTGTCATGAAATTGGTAATTGTGAAATTTGAATCAAACTTTGAGGATAATCAATGAAGATTGTCCAAGTAAGTGAGATCTGCTTATTCTCTCCAGTACCTCCACTGCCACACTGCTCCCACTTCACAAGATCACCAATCCACAGACTCTTACATTTTCACTATCATTCATCTACACTTGCCTCCCTATCCTTCCTCAAAGCTCCACAGATTTCATGATCTATCATTACAATCACTTTTTAAAAACCACTATTAGAGCCCTTGTCTCTTTCTCCGTCAAGGATATTCATGGTACAAAACTCCAAAACTGGCCGAATCCAACCATCTCCTTTCTCAATTAGTTTGAGTGGTTTACTTTAAATTTGTGACTTCGATCTTTAGCATGGCACTCAACAGTAAACAACGGACCTACAATTTTCCCTAGTAAGTTCATTTTCCTACACTGTGAGACGACTATTTTCAAACCTTCATCCATTCCAATTGAATATTGAACCTGACTCTACCACTTATGCCTGAGAAAATCAGAAAACATATAATGGAATATCCTGCTCTTTCAAATAGTTCTATCTAGCAACTTGTACCTATTTCCATATTCTCAGCTGTTCTATTTGTCGTTTGACTCCAACTTCTCTCTTTTCAACATCACTGCTGTATTTATTAGTTTACTCTTGCAACCAGCTGGCCTTCTTTTTAAGCCTCACTTCCATCAACATAAAAACATGCCGGCTCGACGCCTGTGGCTCAAGCGGCTAAGGCGCCAGCCACATACACCTAAGATGGTGGGTTCGAATCCAGCCCGGGCCCGCCAAACAACAATAATGGCTGCAACCAAACAATAGCTGGGCATTGTGGCGGGGGGCTGTGGTCCCAGCTACTTGGGAGGCTGAGGCAGGAGACTCGCTTGAGCCCAGGAGTTGGAGGTTGCTGTGAGCAGTGAAGCCATGACACTCTACTCAGGGGCTCAGCTTGAGGCTCTGTCTCAAAAAAAACCCCCCAAAAAACATAAAAACATGCCCTTGGTATCTTCCATTTAATACTCCTATGATAAATAACATCTACTTCCCATGGCTTTATGTCTACACAAATTTTTACAAGTTTTGTGAAAAAGTTGTCTCTGCCTATCTCCTTTACCTTACCCCACCCTACTCCCAGTCACTTGAATTTGCCCCAGTCAGACTTTCTCTTTCAACATTCTAGTAAATTTGTTTATGCCAAATCTTTAAACAGATATCTTCAAACAAGAAGTACATGAAGTGGTAAGGAAAAAAAGAATGTTCACTTAGGCAGCTCATGTCAAACAATGCTGATGATCAACAAGGAGACAGATCCCAATGGCACATCACTTTTTTAATCTTAAGGGAATGCTCAGAACAAGAGAACAAAGCAGCGTCTTCTGATACTGTGGGAGTTCATATCATACCCCAAGGACATTATAGTGGGAGAAAAAGGTGAAAGAAGACACTACATTTGGAGGCTGAATGGAGGAAGGAGACATCAACAATGATGAAAGTACAGTATCATGGAAAACAAAGAAACAAAAACAAGTAGTTAATATAGAGTTTCCTTCGAGGAATGAAGGGATGGGAGAAGGTAAAGCAAATGTAAAATATGATCATAAACAGAAATAAATCATCATTACATACGGCATAGTACTTACCCAATGGCTATGAAATCTTCATGATGAGGTGAACAAGTAAGACAGAAAATTGTCCTGGGTTCTATAAAGAGGTGCTGACTGTCACTTCTGTTGAGCCAGTAACAGAAAACTACTCCTTTTTCATCTCCAGATACTACTAAGTCCTTTACTTGAGGAGACCAATGCAATGCTGATATTGTATGCTTTAAAACAAAACAAAAATGTATGTTTCTCATTTGTCAATGCTGAACTTTTACTTAATTTTTAACCTGTATCACAAACCAGCATAATGATAGCTGCATTTGAGGTACTTAAAAATACCTGGTACTATTTTTTTTTTTTTTTTTATTAAATCACAGCTGTGTACATTAATGCACTCATGGGGTACAAGATGCTAGTTTTACATACAATTTGAAATGCTTTCATCAAACTGGTCAACATAGCCTTCACGGCATTTTATTAGTTATTCCATTAAGACATTTATATTCTACACCTGGTACTATTTGTATAGCAACACTATAGTAACAAAAATTATGTGAAAATTTAAACTACCGAGGACCAAAGAATCATTAGCATATTTTTCTTCTTTTAATAGCTTAATGAAAAGTTCTTTCAAAGATTAAGCAGGTCTTTCCGCTTCCTTTATTTGTTCTCTGAATATTCAAAGTAGGTATGTCAAGTAACCATTTAGTTTAAAAATCAGCTTCATTCACTCATTTACAATTTATATCACAAATCTATCTCATGTGAATGACCAGAGAGTAAACGCTGTAGAACTGTGAAGGTCATACTGTTCTTGTTTCATCTATTCGACCGCTGTAGCATGAAAACAGCCACCGATAATACTCAAATGGATAAAACTATTTGCAAAAACAGGTGGCAGGGCACTTTGTCCGGCAGGTTTGTATGTATCTCCTCCCAAAAAGTTGAGACACATACTATATATGATTTCTTATCTAATTAACAAACACAATTATACAAGTTGTGCTTGCACAGATGAGCTAGCAAAACTATACTCGAAACAGAAGAACCCTCAGCACAGTCATATAAAAATAGTCTGAGAAATCAGTAAGCCACGGTACCTGATGAAGCGAGTGTTCTGTTACAACTTTTTTTGTCTCTACATCCCAGATTTTCACAGTACCATCATCAGAGCTGGTGGCACAGAGGTTGTACTGACCAGGGTGATGAGAAAATGTGAAGCCAGATACTCTATCCGTGTGTCCCACCAACTCTCCTATGACTTCAAGCAAAACGAGACCTTAGGTTAATTAAAGGGCTAGAGAAAATTCTTCGCAGAATCCGTGTTGTTGGACGATGAGTAAACAAATGCGGTGGAGTTGCTATGTATAACAAAGTATCCACGGACTCGCTACCAGAACTCCCGAGTGCTAGCAGGACACTTCAGATATATCACTGTATCTCTTGACAAATGACCTCAACCCTCTAAACTGTAAAATGATGTTGAATCCTGTGCTGTACTTAACTCACAGGCTGGGAAGCAGCTCAAATGAAGACTGTTAAAGTGCTTCTTTTTTTTTTTTTTTTTTTTGAGACTTTTTAAAAAGACTTTGAGTCTTAACTATGTCGCCCTCGGTAGAGTGCTCTGGCATCAGAGCTCACAGCAAACTCAAACTCCTGGGCTCAGG